AGTAGATAGTGACTATAACTCAAAAACTCTGAATCCACACAAGCTAAAAACTCAAGAATTCATTCATATTACAGTCATTAATTAATATTTAACATTAACTGTCAAGAGATGCAGTTAACAGATACAGAGGAACTGAGATCTATTGATAACTGGATCGACCAGAGCAACAATGAAAGTCCTCTAGAAGACTAGTACCATAAGCAAAAGCCACATAATATTTCATATTAGCCACCACTAATTGAACCTCAATTGGATGCAGAGTGAGGAGGAGGAGGAGGAGGACGTCCAGTAAATTCAGAAACGATTCCTTTGAAAATATTTCCCCTTGTTGGCGGAACCGTGGGCCTCATCCCAGTGGCGGCCACCCTCGCACCGCACCTACCCTGGCCACGATTTGGGTTGTTAGCACCGCCGTCGCCCTTATCCCGACTTGGTCCGCCGCTATATCCAGTATCACTCATCTTCCACTCTTTTTAGCACAGATTCACGAGAATTGTGCACTGAACCGGAGTTCTTTTATTTTTTTCGAACGGAGTTCTTACTTCTAAAGAATGAGGCAAAAGAGAAGGGTACAAGAGCCCACCATAAGCACGTGCGAGATAATCCTATTAACTCATGCCACTTGGATTAAGGTGTTACGGTAGTTGTTCACGTGGTACAATGAATTTGGACAACAAAACGTTCGGATAAATATTAAAGACAAAACATTTTTTAGATTATAAGTTGATAAATTCATAAAGTACGTGATTAAAAAAAGAATAAAAATTATGAATTCAATGGAATGTTTAGCTAAATAGAAGTTTGATAATGTTAATTAAAAAAAAAAAAAATCATCGAATAAGGACTAAGATTTAAGCCCTTGTTTGAGCTTTCTTTTTTTTGGGTATTGATTTTTTGATGAATATGTGATTAAATTGTAGAATGAATTTTTAAAAAAAAAATTGAATATTAGAAAAATGATAGTTAGCTCATGTTCGGGTTTCATTAAAAATATATTTTGGAATAATAAATATTTCAAGAATGTATGATTAAAAATTAAAATAATATTTAAATTTATTTATAATATTATTTTATCAGAGAATGAGTAATTCAACGATAATAAGGGAGAAAAGTGAATTTTTTTTAAGGATGGAGTCGGCCTAAATTTTAAAGTTTTTGAATTATTAATGAGAAATGTGGGAACTTGGAAAAATTTGATGACGTTGCAATCATGACCGTAGCCCTTTGATGTCACCAAGAGGTCACGCCTGTATTATATGCCTGAGCATTTGTTAAATTTATTAGCTGGCTTTGCACTGTAAAGCATTTTATTTCCTATTTTTTCTAACATCAGAGATCTTATTATATTTCGAATTAAATAATGTCAATAAGGATAAGCACGACACTAATTTAAAATAAAATAAGAAATTTCGCACATCAGTACATCCGAAAGATTTAGCGAAGATATTGTACTTGTCATCTCATGTGACGGCCGCTATTGTCAACTAATTGGAATCGATAATGGGTTAATTCATCTAAAGCGATCAAAGGTTGATATTAAATTCTATTTACTACCGATTAAAATTTAAATCGATTTTAATTTGAATCAAAATTAATAATTCATATCGTCCTATATTTTATAGTATCACAACTTTTCAATCACATATTTTAACAATTTTTATTGTAATTTATTAAAAATTTAATTTTAACCTTCACCAAACAAAAACTAAAAATTAATTTATATATTGAGCTATAAAATACAAAATTAGATTAAGAGCTTGTTTGGGAGGGATTTTGATAATTGATTTTTTGACCGTTAGAGAAAAAGTGGGCCTACTTGTGAGAAAAGAAGTCAAATATAACGACTAGAATAGTGAAATAACGGTTAAAAAATCAATTTTTTGAAAAAAAATCACTCACAAACAGGCCCTAAAGACAGAGCGTAACATGAGATTTTTTAATTTATTTGCTCTAACGTACAAACATGCTCAATAATCAATTACAAAGACAACTGATTTCTTGTACTAAAAATTTGAAAAAAAAAAATATGTATCAAAAAAGTTAGAAAAGATCAACAAATTGAATTAGAAATACAAATATTAGTGCATGTTTGGCTGAGCTTAGAAAGCAGCTTATTAGCTGCTTAACTTTGCTTAACATCATCATATGCTTATTTTATCTTAGTCCAAAGAAGCAGCTTAGAGCTACTTTAAAGCTTAGCCAAACATGCCCTAAGAGTTCATCAGTTGTCGTGTTGAGTTGTGTTCGGCAGTCTCCACTGTAAAGCAACAGAAAATGGATTGAACAATGAAATCAAACACCATTCTCTTCACCAGCCTCCTCTTTGCCGGAAAAACAGTTTCTTTCTTGGGCTTGAACGCTGGCTGCGCCGCCACTTCCGCCACCGCAGACCTTGCCTTTTTCTCTGTTGCAACCGCAACCACAATCACCACCTCTTCGGCCACCATCACTGCTTCTTCACTCTTTTTTCTTCACTACTAACCTTTATGCATAATTGACCATATAAATTCATGATCTAAAGTAGCTTAATGAGGAAGGAACTTCTTGAAGGGTAGAGTGATGTGTGGCGTTGGACAGAATCTAGAATATTTGGATCCGTTTGGATTTCGTATGTTGTAAATGACAGTTGTAAAACACAAGCCAAGTAGTGACGTGTTTGCCGTTTGCTCTTGTGAGTAGACACCTTATAAGTTCCAAATAATCCTTTTCTTAGATTTTTTTTTCGACAAAAGTACTAGACCACGAAATTCCTCTTTGGCATTTCCATATGAGATTACACGACAACAACTTCGGTGCTAATCCCCTAGACATTATACTCCAGAGTGAATTTTAAATCCATGTTTATCATCCTTTAAATTTTTAAATTGTTTTCTATATGATCATTCTTCACTACACATTTATACAATAAAATATTTACACATAAATTAATAAAGTTTTCTTACTTTCTAACAATACATTCTCCAAAAAATACTATTCAATAACTCATTATTTCCAAATAAATTATATGATACCGGCCCTAAATTTAAATTATGTTCCAATTTACATGACAAGAACTTTAGTAATATTGGTCATACTCTAGAAATTCAATACTAGATGTTGCTAGTGGGTTTTGAATTTAAAATTATGCTTCTGAATTGTTTATAATAATCGATTTAAATTATAAATAATTTAAAATGAGAAACAAATGAGCGGGTAATACTTGTATGCCGTACAAAATGTACGAATAAAAAGTGATCGGACCAATTATAAATAACTTATAAACATTAGCAAAAAATGGGCTATGCGTTCACAATTTTACTTGCTAGGTGCAATGTTTATGAATAATGCTATTTGTTATCGTTAAAGATGAATTATCACTTGAGGCTACATGATGACATTAAAGATATATATCTTGACAAATAGCATTACTGATTTGATTCATTTCATCTTTTCAATAGTTTGTTTCCATCGTAAAAACCTCGTTTTTGTTGCCTCGAGTATTAGCCCAAATTTGGTTGATGTTTATAATCGGTTTATAATCAGTCGAATAATCTTTAATTCAAAAATTTCTTATAAACTATAAGTACAATCCACTTATTCCCCCCACTCATTTCTTTTTATCTATAATTTGTATTGATAATTTTGGCCAAAATTCTACAAATCATTGGTCTAAAACTTATTTTAAAAACTAAATAAATTCAAGATACTCGTACTCTGACTTTTGACTCTTAAGTCTTAAGAAATCTAGAAGAAAGTTAATTTATTTATTATTTTCTATCAATGAGTTGAACAAGAAAATTTGAAGACTTCACCCTTATTCTTGATTCTGATTTAATCTGACGGTGCAAATGGGTGTGAGGTTGTTGACAATTTTGACTTTGTTGAATTCTTCTTAATTTTCTTATTCTTCTTCGTGTAACTTTCCTCACTTGATGATAGAATTTTCCTTATGTTACTGATATTTTTGCTTGATTCCATGTTAATAACTCTCTGATTTCATCATTCCATCTTCCTCGACCCAATGAATACGAACATTAGACAACACAAAGAGCAATTTTTACGAATAAAAATTTAAATCGATTGGAATCACATCAATTGTACCCGTTATACTTTGTTATAGGTTCTGAAGCAAGTACAATTAAAAACTCCATTTATTTTTTAGGTATGGAAAAATTTGCATTCTAAAGCTCTTAGTAAATTAGCAAATTGTATTACATGGTTTAGATATTTTTATTATAATATAATTGTATCTCACAAAGGGAGACTAGTGAGCAAAGTGGACGACTATTTTCCCAAAAAACTCAGGTAATCAATCCTGGCAATGATCGTCTTATAAATCATAACGTGACCTATGTTATAATTTATCAATCTAGATTTTGTCGTACAACTTGACCCTATGACTAAAATTTGAAGCGAGATATTTTCTATAATAGTCAAGTGACGATTTAATTGAAATTTATGTAATTTCAAACCAAATTTTAGAAGCTAGTAAATAGGTGGGAAAAAAAAAGGTCGAAGCATGTGTATTATAGGACATTTGTGTAAAACCTGGAGAGATTGCCAAACCATTGACAAACCTATTGAAATTTAAAGATAATCAAAGCATTTTACAAAGAGTAGAAAGATCTATATGTCCAAAATTTTCCATGATTTGTTAATTCACATAAATAAAAACTAATTGTTTGCTACATACATGACACGAATCACAAACTTTCTGTCATCAGTAGGCATCAATCCAAGCCATTGAGGGATGTAATTGATAGTTCCACTTTGGACCTAAGAGAAGAGAAGGCTCGAAAACAAGCTTGTACACAGATTCTTGACTAGTACAGATGAAAGAATTGGTCCATTCGTATTTCCTCAAAAAGCTAATTATTATTAAACTTCGAAGGTCAACTTATATCAATTTGAAAATTAGATATGAACTTGCTACTCAAAAAATAAGTCGAGGACCTAAGCTGTAATTTCCCTCTTAAGAACAAAAAATTCTATTCGATAAACCCTGATTAGATAAACCCTAAAGTAATCGTCTCTCTCAGTCTTCAATCCAGCGGTTCAGCCAAACCAGAGGCCCAGATTCTTCAATTCGCAGTCGCTGCAGCTGCCGCTGCTGTGCCTTTGGGCCAGCCTCTCTCTACATTCTTTCAGTACGTCAGGATTCTTTCTTTTTATACATATTTTGTGCTCAATCAGGTAAAAAATTCATCGATGAATCTATTGTATTATTTTGCAATGTCCAAGGCAAAGAAGATTAAATAGTGATTGTGGAAGTGGTGTGAACGAACGATCCACACATTGATAATTGGCGCACAACTTATTTTGATTCTAAATACAGATTAAAAATGATAGCTTTATCAGAATATTAAAATAGAATGTGATTTTAAATAGCTATCCACATTAATCTGCAACTGCTTGAATATTGCTTGATGTATGCGCTCATAATTTAGTGGTATATAAATTAATATAAATGAAAAATTTGTATCAGTAAAATGAGAACAAGTGTTTCTCTAGGACATTACCAACATATTTAAATAACAATTGCTGCAGGGACATGACAAAGAAAAATAAATCTTCAAAAAGGAAAGCTAGAGAAAGCAATGTAGCCACGTCTGATGGGATTACTTCTGAGACTATATCGGATAAGAGTAAGCTCCTATGAACCTTTGTTTATTGTCTACTCAAAACTGCTGAAAAGTCTCTAATACGAAATATGGAGAAAATATGTGATTGTTATTTGCAGTTTTTTCCCTTAAACAAAAGGAGGAAGGTAAAATGTCTTGGGTGGATTCAAATTTTGAGAGAAGGTGGAAGAGGTTTGTTGTGCTAAATATCAGTGGAATAGATGCTAGAATAGCGCTTTTATCTTAATATCAAAATAGCTATTCAAAAGTGGCGAACTACCTTTTTTTTACTTATTTATTGATCGTAACAATTTTCAGTCGTTAATCCACACTTAATTATTATTATTATTATTATTTTATTCCAATTGTAATGGCTTAAATATTGCAATGAAGAAGACTCTTTGGTTCCTTCTAGGTTTTAAAACAATCATTTTGAATCTTGTTAGTATTCCCTTTTGTGCTCAAACCTATAGGCTAAAAGTTGAGCTCAAGAGCATTTGAGGGCAAGCACCCCTTACACTTCTCGGTCTTCTTGGTGTGTGAAACTGTTCATAAAATGGCCAAGCACCCCTTACACTTATAGCTGATATCAGAGCTGCCGCCATTTAATAATTCCTTGTTAACGTAGTGAAGGATAATCCTTTCGTTACATATGGCATAAAAAATGCATGCCAATACTTCAGGTCTTTTTTTGGCGATGAAAATTGAGCGAGATGTTTGGCTTAAGAGCATTTATTAAAGATTTGGATATCATATGTAGATCATGATGAGCTTATTTCAAATTTGATACTTTCTGTTTTAAACTTGAGAGTACTTATAAAGACTTCGAAGTTGAACAATGACCCTAAGTTTAGGCTGTTCTAAATTTGAAAGCATTTATATAGACTTCGAAGTTGGAATGACACTAAGTTTAGGCTATTTTCACTCGAAACTTGTTCAACTGCTCGAGGCTTCCTATATTAGCAAAAGAGAAGCTCAGTCGTATGTCTCATTTTTGACTTTATACAGTTCGTGATTTATGTTTAAATAGGGTAAATATGTGAAGAGAAAAGCATATATTTAACTTCATAAGAAGGATGTGGTTGTCTTTTGGTATGTTGGTCTTGGAGATCATATAGATGGAGTTCCTGTTAACAATGATTTGAATGAGCTGACCATGGGCGAGAAGCTTGCAAACCTTAACTTGACAGAAAACAGTGGAGCCAAAAGCCATGATGTAGTCTCCTCTCCTCAAACAAAACCACCTAGTGCGGACTCCGCTCATATTTTGATTAAGCAAGCTTCACATACTGATGATCGAGCACTTCTAATAGATTGCTTGTTCAGACAAGATGATAAGGTGCCATAAATCCTAGTGTCCTGCTCTAGTTGTTCCTTTTTTTCTTTGCAAGTATGTCCTGTTTAAGGAACAATTCTTTTTTCTCTCTCTTGATAATATGAAGTGGAAACACCATCACACTGCAGGTAATATCGAATTCAGTGTCATTGTTGAATCCATCTGATGTTCTCAAGTTCCTACAGTCTTTCATATCAATAATCCAACTGACGTAAGGGGAAAAATAGGAAATATCAATACAGATATCTGCCACAGAACAAACTAGTACCAGTAGAACTGAAAAGCTGAAGTATTGATAGAAATTCAGTGCTTTCAATTTTCTCGTTTTTAGGGGGGAAAAAAAAAGATCTTTGATGATTTTGTCTCTAATCTAGAAATTACTTTCTATATCTTGCATTTTTACACTAATTTATAGTCTCATTAGTTTGTGACAACTATTGGCGATTGTGCATTTGTTCGACAGGGGTGCTGTACTGGCTTGTGCTCTTCCTTGGCTTAGAAGTTTACCACTTCAACATGCTGGTGGAATAATGTCTCAAGAGTCTTCTTTGGTTGCTCTTAACTCTTTGTATCAGGTTAGGAAGGAATACGATTAGAAAATTTTGTGGATGTACGAGGAGAATCTGTCCACAAGAGATCCCGATTAATTTTGTGTGATTTCTAGCAATTGGATATCTAAATAAAGGCAACCAATACGACGAAGTACTCACCAAATCTGAATCATAGCAACATCAAATTATGTTTGGTGTTAACATCAGATTTGTACCACTCGAAATTCAAAGGAAACTGAAATTGATGATCTTCCGTTAGCAAGTGTTGTTTGTTATTTTGATCGAACACTTTCTAATCTATTCACCTATATATGACACACTTGTTAACTCCAATGCAGCTTATAGAATCTAGAGTCTCAACGTTCGACCGCACTCTTCAGTTATCAAGCTGCTTGGAGTTGCTTTATGCTGAGGTGGGTCTGCTGCTAAATAATTACTTTTACCTGAAACTCATTGAAGTTTTACACAGACATCCCTTTTTTGCAGACTGTTGATGATGATGTAGAGGAAGATAATAGTGAGGTAACACCAATCATATAAGAAGACAACAATGAGAGTGACGATGGGGGATCCGTATATTCCATGGAAACTGAAAGCAGTCATGACGATGAACAGCCTCATGTTTTTAGTGATTTTAGTGATGATGAAATCAATGACGAGATTAATTGCTGACATGCAGAATGGTATTACTCTGCCCTCCATTGTATTCCAGTCATTTTTCACCAGTTATTTTACATACCAAAGCTCAAGCTTAAAGTATGTTTTCCTGTTACTTTGATATGCTAAGATCTACAATTCAAAAAATTCCTAAATTTTCTTATTCTTTCTTTGGAAATATGAGGCTAGTTTCAGCCACAATGAGAACACTAGTTAGCAATCTACAAGAATCTAGATCAAATAAACATAGTAAGGTTTCCATAAGTGTAACATAAGCATATGTATCACATCACCTGCTTTTTTACCTTTTTTGCTATAGGCGTAAGTGCAGACACAGAAATTACAGTACACAAACAAGTAAAATATTAAAAAACTTGCTCGCCAGGTGTTGAATCCGCGGCTCTACATTTCCAGGATGTTAATTAGGATGCAGTGGTTCTTGACTGCATCAACAGTAGATTCGACCGCTTTCTTCCAGCCTCAGCTATTTTCTTGCCTACAATAGTCGAAACATCCTCTTCTTTTGGAAAAACAATTCCATTTTTGCCTGATCTTGTTGCATGGCTAGTGTTGGAATCCATTTATTTTACTGAATTTCAACTAAGTATGCGTTCTTTTTCCAAGAGGAGATATGAAGGGGCTATATATAGACCATGTGTGATATGATCCGCAACGTTAATTCCGGTAGGGAAAGTTTCCAAAATTCACAAGTTGTTAGTTTTGGTTAGAATTCTTTATTTTTGATAATTTCTATATTCTTAGGAGTTTTATTTTGTTTATAATTCTTAATTTTGGTAACTTTGATATTGTTAGAGTTTTATTCCTTTTCAAACTACTTGCTAGATTTTTAGTATATATACACAAGGCTTTTATCATGAATTGAATAGAGATTTTCCTCTTGAAGCTTTTGTTTCAAAATATCGAACTTATCAAGATTTAATATCTTGTGGTGTTCAAACAAATCATCGGGTGAGATTCTTTGGGTTGTGTAATCAAACGGTTCTTTGTATCGCCGTTATCGTTGGGTTGTTTGATTCATTAATTTTTTGGGTCAAATCCACAATCCAGAGGAGATTTCAAGATTGTGTGATTAAGAGATCGTTTGGTTCATATACGTTCGGTTGCTTAGTTTACTTTTGCGGGTCGATTCCTAAACCTTGATCATTATTTGGGAGTTCTTGGAATCCGTTGTCAATTCCTGTAGGTTCGATAGCAACCTTGCTAATTGGGTTCGCATCAATGTGAGCTTGGTATTCTTCTAGACTCTGCAAATTCAATGTTATTTCAATGGGAAAAACAGCCCTTTGCTATTGATATTAACTGTGTGTGGATATTATGGTTTGAATTAAAATATTATGAGGTGAAATTAAAATGTGATAACCTACAGTTACTGTGTTTTTGTCTCTTTCTCCTCCCGTGTGACAGCTTCCTCGTCAGTTAAACGGTAACAATTTGATTTAAGAAGATCAATAAAAATGCCTAGCGAGAGGTTAATATCAATAAATGAAAAGAAGAGAGGCGAAATTCAGGACATCTCAAGAACGTCGCTAATGATTATTGATTAAGAGCACAACCTACATGGCTGGAAGAAAATGATAAAAGAGTTTATCATAAATGATGGTAAACGAGTCCAATAGAACCTATCTGAATTCAAACTTTTCAATCCAACCGTAGAAAAACTTAATTCTAAAACTCAATCCAACCGTAGAAGAAATTGGGAGAGGAGATTTGGAGGGTTTATTCTGATACGAAGGATTATCTAACTTCAAATAAAAAGGAGGAGGGTATACTATTCATGCAATAGTAAATGAATCCAATTTTATTATGCATGATGTCATTTTTTATTTTGTTTATGTCAAACAAATATTCTTCCACACATCATCCCACTCGTATTAAAAAAATAATTATGTCAAACAAATATTTTTCTACACATCATGTCACTAGCATTAAAAAAAATAATAATAATTTTAGTAAATATAAACTGCCATAAGCACAAAAAATAATAATAAAATAAAATTCTTCGCACATGAGTTTTACAAAAAATAAAAATCAACTCTTCGCACAGTGTGGAGAGATGACAAACAATGTGCGGAGTAAAAAAGGAAGAAAAAACTCTCCGCATAGTGCGAAAAGATGACAAACCATGTGCGGAGAGCAACTCTCCACACAGTGCAAAGTAAAAAAAAAAAAAATTCTCCGCACAGTGCGAAGAGATGGCAGCACAGTGTGGAGAGATGGCAAACATTATGGTAAAACTCTTTGCACAGTGCGGAGAGATGAAATTCTGTGCGGACTATCCGCACAATCTGTGCGGACACTGTCCTCACAAAGTGCGGACTTTTCGTACAGTGCGAAATAAAAAAAGCAAAAATAAAAATAAAAAATCACACAGCGCGAAGAGTTGGCAAACTCTTCGTACAATGCGAAATTAAAAAAAAAAAAAACTTTCCGCACAGTGACTGTGACGTAAGTTGCACAAATTTTGCATTTATCGTATTTTTATTAGTATATGAATTTTAGTTTTTTGGAAAGTTTTTGAAGTAATATCTAGAAATATTTCCATGATATAAGAAAATAATTGCAAATTATTTTTACAATTGCATAAAAGTATTGTGTCATCTAGAAAAAATATACTTGTATATTTCATACTTGAATAAGAAATATACGAAATTATACAAATTATTTTGCTTGTATTCTGTGATAGTGTTGATATGATTGAGTTGAATGTGAAGATTATATTTCTAAATTTTGTGTAATACAATATTCAAAAATTGAAGATTGAGCACCGTATTCATATGTATTTATATTTTGTGCTTCATATATATTTAATATTTATTTTATACTGATGTTGAAAAAATAAAAATTTGAAATTTTTTTTGAAATTCGACTTGGTAAGTGAATGTACGGTGTTCCGCATTCTTGGTATTTGTAAGTGCAAAAAATCGGCATATAAAAATACAGTAAGCTGTAAATGCGGTAGACAGCATATTACGGTAAGTTGCAAATACGGTAGGCAGCAGATACAGTAAGCTGCAAATACGGTAAGGTGAAAATACAGTAAGTTATTTGTAAATACGGTAAGCTACAAATACAGTTGACAGTATATACGGTAAACTGTATATACGGTAAGTTACCTGCAAATACGGTAAACTGCATATAAGGATTTATAATTTGTTATAAATGTATGAAATTTATTTAATATTGAATTACTTAAGTATTAAATAATGTAATTCAATATTGTTTTCTTTTTTATAATTGTATTTCAGAGAATTAAAAAAAATGGTTATAAAATTGCTAATTTTTAAATGTGTTTTTTTATTAAAGATAAAAATGATTTTTTATGTTATTTGTAAAAAAAAAACTAATAGAAGTAGTAATCTCCAAAACCAATGCTAGAGGAAGCATGGCATGGTAGTCAAGGAAAGGTAGTCTGACACCATGTTACTTATAAACTTCACAAGATCGGATTACTCCTCTTAATACGATTGACACACAAGTCTTAATACGTCCAACCTGAAAGATAAAACAGTTGGGAGAAGAAAATAATCGTTTACACCTCGCTTGCATCTTCGAAAAGGGAATTACCTGGAATTGAGGACTTGCATAATTATTGAAAAGAAAGCTGTTAAACACCCATCCCTATTAAATATCTTTAACCTAATTTTCCTCGAATCTCAGAAAGAAAATAACCAAAAAGAGCAATTCATTCGAATTCCTTTTAACAGTTAACCCACGATCTGACCAAGTCCATCTTTAATTTACATGGAATATGATAAGTAATTCATACAGGAACAA